GTGTTTGTGTGAGAGAGAGACAGAGACAGAGATATAGAGAGAGAGAGATCCAGTTGGAGCAGACTCTGAGGTAGCCTTCAAACCATAGAAGGGAGGTGAAGAGATAGAAAATACAAGATGACTAGTAGCATTATGTGGGAGCCTGTAAAGAGTGACTAACTTGAAGCATGGCAGTTCCATACTAAATGTCGAAGCACCCTGGCATTTAGACATACTGTCTTTAATCCTGTAGCTGTTGTGACTAGCAGCCATTGGTAGCCAAGCTTAGTACATAACACTTACCCTTATTAAGTTCATTTAGCGCTCACTTACCATCACCAGATCTTGAAGCAGTCTAAAGAAAAATCCAAATGCATCATATACAATAAGAACTATTTCAAATAATTTTTTGCACCATAACACTCACTTTTTTCCTCCTAGAAAGTAAGGGGAAATGTCTGTGCGTGTTATGGAGGAAATGCCTACAGGTGGCATGCCTACAGATTTTCCTCCTCTAAAAACTATGTGCGTGTTATGGTCGGGTGCGTGTTATAGAGCGAAAAATACGGTACAGTGGTGCCTCGCAAGACGAAAAGAATCCGTTCTGGGAGTCTCTTCGTCTAGCGGTTTTTTCGTCTTGCGAAGCAAGCCCATTGATGGGATTAGCGGATTAGCGCTATTAGCGGCTTTTAGCGGCTTTTAGCGGCTTTTAGCAGCTTATCAGCTTATCGGATAAGCAGATAAGCGGCTAGCGACTTAGAAAAGAGGGGGAAAGGAAAAAAACCCAGTAACTCGCAAGACATTTTCGTCTTGCGAAGCAAGCCCATAGCAGATTCGTTTTGCGAGGCACCTCCAAAACGGAAAACTCTTTCGTCTAGCGAGTTTTCCGTCTTGCGAGGCATTCGTCTTGCGGGGCACCACTGTACCTCAAAGAGGTAAAGGTAAAGGGACCCCTGACCATTAGGTCCAGTCGTGGCCAACTCTGGGGTTGCGGCGCTCATCTCGCTTTATTGGCCGAGGGAGCCGGCATACAGCTTCCGGGTCATGTGGCCAGCATGACTAAGCCGCTTCTGGCGAACCAGAGCAGCGCACGGAAATGCCATTTACCTTCATGCTTTCGAACTGCTAGGTGGGCAGGAGCAGGGACTGAGCAACGGGAGCTCACCCCGTCGTGGGGATTCGAACCACGACCTTCTGATCAGCAAGCCCTAGGCTCTGTGGTTTAACCCACAGCGCTACCCTTCACCTCAAAGAGTATCCAGATACATTATCATGCATCTTGTCTGGTTGGCGAATAAGTAGCCAAAGCAATGTGAGGTCACTACGTTCTTTAAGAGATTATGGAGCATGGTTAAAGGACTGATTTATATACACATTCCATGTATGGCTATGGAATTATTATTATTATTATTATTATTATTATTATTATTATTATTATTATCCCACCCATCTGGCTGGGTTTCCCCATCCATGCTGGGCAGCTTACAGCATATAAGGCAAGGACTCCCGATTTGTAAAACCCAACAGCTGGATGCAGAGGTGCAGAACATTTCCAGCCTCCCATGCTTGGTGCCGTCTTCAAGCTCAGCTTTTGGCTGGGGTCAGTTATGCTTGAAAGCATCTCCTTTAAGAAACACCCAAATGATGGTATTGTTTTGGGGGTGAGCAATCAGTATAGGGTTGGCTTTGAACTTTGGCTGATCGGGATAACTGGTTTAATAAACTGGCAAGGGCTGCTCAGCTAATAAGGGTGGCGGCAGCAGCAGCAGCAGCTCCTATGGGATCTTGTTGGGCCTCCCTCAAAATGGCGGCACCGGCACCACACGGAACCTTTCTCCAGCCTCTCTTGCTGTTTGCGTCATCCCTGATTCGCAAGGAGGGAGCTGTGTGCAGGTCACCTGCAAAGCCGAACCTGGGTCTCTTTGGTGCAGGCCTGTTCTCCCCTCCCCCCTTGTGTTCTAATCAACTGTCAAAATGACACAAGGAAAGGGCTGCTATCGTCGACTAAGCGAGCAGAGGGCAATCACGCGATGTCAGGAACCTCCAATGGGGGTTGGAGTAGGTGCCCCTGGGGGTGTGCAGAGCGCTCCTGGGAGCTCACTGGTTATCTCCGCTGTGATGCCCATGAGGCACGTGCAGGCTGCCCGCTGCTGGCCATCAGGGGCTTTGTGGGCACCAAAAAGAGCCAGTATGATGTAGTGGTTAAGAGTGGTGGACTCGTAATCTGGTGAACCGGGTTCGTGTCTCCGCTCCTCCACATGCAGCTGCTGGGTGACCTTGGGCCAGTCACACTTCTTTGAAGTCTCTCAGCCCCACTCACCTCACAGAGTGTTTGTTGTGGGGGAGGAGGGGAAAGGAGAATGTTAGTCGCTTTGAGACTCCTTAGGGTAGTGATAAAGCGGGATATCAAATCCAAACTCTTCTTCAAAAAGAGGATCTGGCTGCCGGGGAATCATCAGCAGAAGCTGTACATGATGACAATGACCACCAGCATCTAGCAGCATTCTTCTACGTGCCCACCCGGCGGAAACACCTGCCTGTTGTTGCCACCCCTCGCTTCAACACCCACAGCCGTCTTTCCCATTGGTGTTAGTGGTTTGTTGCGCCAAGGCGCTGGCCTCTCAGGGGCACCCTAGCGAGTGGGAGAGCTACGCGGCTATGCCGGCAGCCTCCCCTTTCCCTGCACGCCCGCCAGCTGCGCCCCACCAACTGTATGGCTGGCGGGCATGCAGCTTCCTTCCCAAGCCTCCACAGGAGGAGAGCGATCGCCGCAGAGGCTTAGGATGGAAGCTGCGCGTAGTTTCCCTCCCAAGCCTCTGCATCTGCTAAAGATGGCCCTGCTCCTGGTCATTGTCCTCCTCTTGCTTCCTGGCGAAAGGCGGTGTGCAGCCTTCTCAGGCTTCCCATGTCCGCCAGCACGTTTCCCTGCTTGATCGCCGCCACCACACAGGGGATCGGGGCGGTGAGGGAGGCAGAGAACATTTTCTACCGCCCCCTCCCTTGTTTTTGAGTTGCTGGGGGGGGTGCCGGAGGGATCTTTGCACCATGGCACCAGATATGCTTAAGACGGCCCTGGCAACACCCCCTTGGTGACTGGTCACATCACCTTGACATGGTGACCAAGCCACCATACAACAGAATCGTAGAGTTGGAAGGGACTTTCGGGATCATTTAGTCTAAGCCTCTGCAATGCAGGGCTATGCAGCTGTCCCATACGGGGATCGAACCTGCAACCTTGGTGTTACCAGCACCACGCTCTAACCTATTGAAAAGGCCCAGAACCTGCATGCATTCACTGGGAGAGGAAGAAAGCATGGGGTACTGGGGCCTTGACTACCCTTGTGTGCATCAAAATAATTTTCAGGATTTCAAGAGTTTGAGGGGTGTGAAAGGCTTGGAAGCCATGCAGATTAGCTGAAGACTGAATCATTATTATTATTATTATTATTATTATTATTATTATTATTAAATTTTCTATAAAGCCCTTCACTCAAGGACCACAGGGAGGTTTACAAGACACTGGGAGAAGGCGAGAGAGGATTACAGGCTAAGTAAGAGAGCCAATACATGAAAGGGAAGATTGAACAGAAGACAATGAAGACTCCTTCTTTGAGCAGAACACTGCTCAGAAACCAATTTCACCTCAAAAATAACACCACACAGTCATCCCCAGCAATACATTTCCTGATTTTTATTTAGAAATCTATGTAACTGATGATCTATTCAAAAGGCTGTGGACATTACCTGCAGAGAGAGCACAAGCACCAAATTTCCACCTAGCCCATAGTCTGCAACCCAACTCCTCCGGTTCTAAACCAGCTTTTGCCCCGTTTATTTTACAAACAAATAATTACACTTATTACAGAAAGTTTAGAAAACCAACAGGAAAGCCTTTGTTGTTGTTGTTTTTCTTCTTAAAAGTGAAGATGCTATTATTTTGGGATGCTACACTGGAATCTGCCTACCTTGGAAAAAAATCATGTGACAAGGGCCAGAAGGCAGAGGTTGAAATGGAGAGAAGGAAGTGTGATGGGTCTGGTCAATTGGTTCGTATGTATTTAATTCACTAATCGGGGACTCAGAAAGTAGACTGAACTTTCCTACCTGATCAGCGAGACAGCAAAAACCCACTCTATGGTTAGGATATCCAGTCAAAAGCAGCAGGAGATGGGATTCACGTGTCTCTGGTTTGGACTGAGAAAAATAAGGGTGTGGATGTATAATCTACCCTGTATATGAACCAAAGACCATGGTGCCACTTTTAACGCTTAAAACTGTTGTCTGTTTGCAGCTGAAATTCAAAGAACCAAACTCGTTCTTCTAGTATCAAGTCTAGTAGAGGGAATAGTGGGAGGCTGGATGCATTAACAAATAAGGGTGGCTAGAAGAATATTACAGTATTCTAAGGACTTTTTACCTACCAGTGTACTGCTGGGTTTTTGTTTTTTGTTTTTTTGTTTTGTCTATATCTCTCAAACTACAACAATTCCACGGGATCACCACTTCGTGGGCAAGACATGAAGGCAGATTCTAAACAAGTTAGGAAGTCAAACCTCTTGCTAAGGGGGGTATCTTGGAGAACGATCTAATCAAAAGCACCACTGAGATCCTCCAGTTCTACCTGAGTTCCTTAAGAGTGCAATCCTATTCACATCTACTCAGAAGTGAGTCATTCAGTTCAGTGCAACTGGCTCCCAGGTGAGCACATGTAGGATTGCAGCCTTCAAAGATGGAAGAGAGCTAAACATAAGTATCTGAAAACAGAGATAAGGGAATTCCCCACCCCCAAGACTGTACATGTTTTAATTTCCCATCTTCTTTTCTTTTTTTAAAGTCCCCAGGTTTGTAGCTGCAGAAGTTGTTTTCATGCAAGAAGCACCCAGGGCCTGCATGCCCAGATTACATGCATAGATTACAAGATGCCAGCCAGTTTTGTACTGTATTCGTTGCTGTTCTCCAGTACAATCCAGTCATTCTCGTCCCCTGCCTTGTCTTGTGGTTCCCTATCTTCCGCCGTTCTTCTACTTCTTGATTTTGATCAGCGAATGGTAGACAGGCTTGATGATGATATGCAGGTGCAGAGAGTTGTCGATGAGGTATTCGGAGGTGCGCTTCTGTAAGTCGGCATGCACCAGGAAATCGGCCACTTCGTCTGTGCTCTGGTGGAAGCTGTAGGCATGTTTGACAAAGACTTTGCCCTGCTGCCTCATGCCCACCAGGATGGTTTTTTGGAAACTGACTCCGGCAAAGTCGGAGCTAGTCGTGGCCGGAGTGATAACCAGGCGGGGGCGGCCGTCCTCGATCCTGATAGACTGAATGGCCCCCGAGACAGAGTCCGAGTAAACGGGACGCAAGCTGACCGGGAGCCAACGTGGGGAGAACAGAACGTTCCAAGTCACGCGCTTAGCAGAGTCGTGGTTGCTGGGCCCCAGTTGAGTCTGGAAACTGGTGCTGCGGTCATCCCTGGCTGGGTTGTTAATCACCCACTGAGAACCCCAGGAGGTGGAGAGGTAGTTTCGGGGAAGGAACATGCTGCAGTTGACGTCAAAGTATTTGGCAAAGTGGATCGGGGAGGCCGAGTGGAACTGGAAGGCTTGGAAGAGCAGGTCTTGCACAGCGTTGTAGTGCTTCACCATCACCAGAGACTGCTTCTGCAGGTGGAAAAGGTGGCTGGGGGAGATCATAGGGTAACGCAGGGACCTCAGCATCTTCTCCACGACATAGTCCTCGGGCTGGTGTGTGACCACCCACTCCTCAACGGCTGTGTACAGCTCCAGCTCGCTCTGCAGAACCAGGTCGGATCGTTCCAGCAACAGCAGCAAGAGATCGACGCTCACCGAGGCCCACTCGGCGCTGCTCATCACAGCTGAGAGGTTCCAGGCCAGGAACTGGAGGCAGCTCTCCTGCAAAGCCTCGTCCCCAATCCTCACTGCGTAGTGGTACCAGCCCACCACGTGGCCCTGGTTCGACTCACTGGCCAGATGGTTTTTCATGTATTCAGCTACCCCTCTCTGCAAGCTAGAGATACGGTATTTGCTGGCTAGTCGGTGAAGCGGTATGGCTTGGTGGAGGAGAATGGAGATCTCACCACAGTACAGATATCTAGAGAAGGGACACAATCATCATTCATCTTGGTGACATTTCTTCTCTCAACAGTTTTCATGGTTTTTTTATTTTTATTTTTAATAGACTGCGTTAGCTACTGAGATGGGTAGTATACAAACTTCTTGGCATTGCATGAGACCACCACTTGGCTGGTTTTAAATTAACTTGGGTGGGGTATAAATAATGAAATTATTATTATTACAGTCAAACCTTGGTTCTTGAATGGCTCCGTTTTCTAACATTTTGGCTCCCGGACGCCGGCAACCCTATTTTCGAATGTTTTTCAGAAGTCGAATGGCTTCCGGGGAGTTTTTTTCTTTTTTCCACATTGACTTTGCCAAACATTTCGGAAGTCAAATTGTCTTCCAGAATAGATTACGTTCAAGGTTTGACTGTATTATTATTGAATAGGGCATTCCTATTTTCATCGGAGAAATGTTGGAGAGTATGGAGATCACACATCTCCAACATTTCTGTCTCTTTTTGATCTTGGGATTCCAGCCTCACTCCCTTTGCTCTCAGCCACAAAAGCCCCATTCTGGTTTCTCCCAGCTTGCAAATCGGACACACGCCATGCCACAGAACTGAAGGACAGGTTACATTTCAGTAGACTTTACTGAATTTTCCTTCTATTCCATTTCCTGTCCTCTTAGAATACATTTCTCAGCAAGCTGTGTTTCCAGTTGTCTTATTATAGGCAAAAGTGCAGGGGCTGCCAACGTAGATGTTAGATTCCAACTCCAATTTGACTTGGCCAGCATGGCCAATGGTCCAAGAAGGTCCAGCAATATAATGGAAAACATCGTGTTGGCTACCCTGCAATATTGCATCCCAGGACTGCATAAAAAGGTTCAGCCAGGTTCTTAGGAGAGAGATGGAAGGAGAGCAGAGGGCAACTACAGCTCCTCCAGCTGAGAAGCAACAGGACCGAAATGGACAGATTGACGGGGAGAATTAGGAACCAACGTGACCAGAGATTCTCCGAGGACTGGAAGAAATTTACAGAGTATATCAAAAATTTCTGTGATGAGCAAATAATGTTTGTTGGCTTTCAAGAAGCTCTGTGAAATTACTATTAGAAATATTGTATTAAAAATATGATGTGACTAAGAGTATTTAAGTGCAGTATAATATTGGGAAATGTGAGACGAGGATAAAAAAATAAACGGAAAATTATCAGACAAGCTGAGGGAAGTTCTGGAAAAAAGGGTTTAAGTTAAAAATGGATGTATAATTTTGTAAAAATGTTTTTTTTGATGGAAAATCTAATAAAAAATAGTTATAAAAAAAAGAGAGAACCAACAGGACCGAGGAAGGGGACTCATTCACTCCTTTTTTAAGACCATCCAGATGAGGTCAGTGAGCTCAGCCTCTTACCTGATGAACTTTTCGAAAAGGGCTGCACTGTCCGGCGGCTCGTGCAGAGTGATCATGGTCTGGTTGTGCAGGAGGCTCTCAAAGATCTCACTTTGCAAGCTGAGCATCAGCTGGTGGGTGTGGAAGACTTTGATTTCGTCCGAGCCGGCAGTGTGCACCCGCAGGGTGGTATCGCTGGCGTTGCCGTTCTGCAGGAGCTCTTGCAACCGCTGCAGCAATGACAGAGAGTGGTTGATGGTGGCCACTGTGGAATCCCCGGTGAGGTCCGCCTTCTGGACTGCAGAGAGCGCGAAACAAAATCAATGAGCAAGAGGAGAGATTTCAGGGCTGGGAAAATGGGGGCGGAATGAAATTCATGGGGGAAGCCCCCAATTGTTTGATTAGTATGTAAGGGAAGGCTGGAAAGGAAACCACTGGGCCATTTGAGAGTAGGCCCCTTGCCTCTGGTGTATAATAATAATAATAATAATAATTTATTTCTACCCTGCCCAGCCACTCTGGGCAGCTTTCAACAGAACATTAAAAACAGAATAAAACTTCAAACATTAAAAACTTCCCTAAACAGGGCTGCCTTCAGATGTCTTCTAAAAGTCGGATAGTTGTTGATTTCCTTGACATCTGGTGGGAGGGCGTTCCACAGGGCGGGTGCCACTACCGAGAAGGCCCTCTGCCTGGTTCCCTGTAACCTCACTTCTCGCAGTGAGGGAATCACCAGAAGGCCCTCGGCGCTGTACCTCAGCTGAATGATGGGGGTGAAGATGCTGCTTCAGGTATACTGGGCTGAGGCCATTTAGGGCTTTAAAGGTCAACACCAACACTGAATTGTGCTCGGAAACGTACTGGGAGCCAATGTAGGTATTTCAGGACCGGTGTTATATGGTCTCGGCGGCCATTCCAATTAACCAGTCTAGCAGCTGCATTGTGGATTAATTGTAGTTTCCAAGTCACCTTCAAAGGTAGCCCCATGTAGAGTGTGTTGCAGTAGTCCAAGCGGGAGATAACTAGCACATGCACCACTCTGGCAAGACAGTGTGCGGGCAGGTAGGGTCTCAGCCTGTTTGGAAGGTGGTGCTAATCTGGGATAGCTCATTTTGAGAAGCATTCCTGAAATCCCTTTTTCCCTTTGTGATTCTCTTGATTTGGTCCTAACACTTTGCACAATGGGAATGCAATAACCAATGGTTTCTAACAAATAAATTTGACTAACTAGCTGTGGGATCGAGTTAAGGCTGGCCTCCGGCTCCCCCTTTCTTTCAGCTAAGCCACAAAGAGGAGATCAGAAGCTTTATTTTATTTTATTTTCAATTAATTTTACAATTTTTTTTCCAAGCCCAGAACTGGTTTAGGGCCAGGATGCGGATTCTGTGACCCTCTAGATATTCTAGGACTCCAACTCCCCTTAACACTAGCCAATAAGATTGGATCCAACTAGGTTTTACTCATGGTAGACCCATTGAAAGTAACAGACCTAGGTTAGGGCCTGTCCGTACTTCAGCTTAATGTAGATTGTGGACCCCGTTGTGCTTCCTTTAACGCCCCCTGTCATTGCAGCATTTCCCTCTGACTACAGCTGCCTCACACTTTCTGCCCCCTAAATCCAGAGATTTCCTATGCAGTTGGTGTGGCTCACCTATTCAGATTTTCAAAGCATAGGGAATTTTGAAAGAAAAGTGGTCATTGGATCCAAAATGTCTGACAGCAGGAGAGGATCCTTCTCCCCAAACTGCAGCTTTCAAACTTCATGTCAGACATCTTAGCCTTTTGTGATGATACACTTGGTAAGTTTTCTGGGTTCTCTGAACTACATAAAGCTCCATGGTATTGGGCAATTATGAATCCACTTTAGTTGCAGCCAGTGATCGATGTTCTGCCCAGGGTGAGTAGAAGAGTCAGTCTCAGTAGGCTGCTGTTCCACTTGTGACCTTATTTTAAAACTGGGATCACAAAGGCTGGACCAGTGATATGCTGTGCCTTGATATTAACATTTATTAATGTAAAGAAAAAGATGGTACTTTTTATCATATGTGGTGGTCATGTAAGATGAAAAAAGACTTCTGGGAAATGATATATAAGGAACTGAAAAAAATGTTGAAAATAACTTCCCTAAGAAACTAGAAGCTTTTCTTTTAGGTATTATAGGACCAGAGATCCCGAAAGACCAGACGAAACTATTTACAGTGGTACCTCATGTTACAGATGCTTCAGGTTACAGACACTTCAGGTTACAGACTTTGCTAACCCAGAAATAGTACCTCGGGTTAAGAACTTTCCTTCAGGAGGAGAACAGAAATTGTGCGTTGCTTCAGGTTAAGAACTTTGCTTCAGGATAAGAACAGAAATCGTGCTCCGGCAGTGCGGCGGCAGTGGTAGGCCCCATTAGCTAAAGTGGTATCTCAGGTTAAGAACAGTTTCAGGTTAAGAACGGACCTCCAGAACGAATTAAATTCTTAACCCGAGGTACCACTGTATGTACGCGACCACGGCTGTGCGGACTCTCTTAGCTCAGAAATGGAAAGATGTTACAACTCTGACCAAAGAAGAGTGACAAACAAAATTGATTCACTATGCCGAAATGGCAAAACTTACAGGAAGAATTAGAAATCAGGAAGAGGAGGTCTTTAATAAAGAATAGAGAAAGTTTATAATTTATTTGAAACGCTATTGTAAACAACTACATACATTGGTAGGATTGACAGAAAACGTGTAGTCAAAATTTGAACTATAGATTGACAAAGGATTTATAAAAATAGAGTTATGATAGAGATGCAGAGGGTAAAATCAGTACAATGGTACCTCGGGTTAAGTACTTAATTCGTTCTGGAGGTCCATTCTTAACCTGAAACTGTTCTTAACCTGAAGCACCACTTTAGCTAATGGGGCCTCCGGCTGCTGCCGCGCCGCCGGAGCACGATTTCTGTTCTTATCCTGAAGCAAAGTTCTTAACCTGAAGCACTATTTCTGGGTTAGCGGAGTCTGTAACCTGAAGTGTATGTAACCTGAAGCGTATGTAACCCGAGGTACCACTGTACATTAAGATCCACCATTGAGGGGGGTGAAGTCAGAAGGGATTATATGTTTATGTATTCATTTTTTTATGTAAAATAAAAAATGCAAAAATAAAATTTATTTTTAAAATATTATTGACATTTACTAAGCAGTTGTAACTATCTAGGGCAGCACAACAGAAAGAATAAACGGCACACCCTTCCTAGGCCTAGCTGCAATCTTAGCGACTTCTAGGATGAGGCCATAATGTGAAATATTTGACAGAGAAGCCAGCTGCATGGGCAGGAGAGAAAAATATGGGGTATCATACATGCTATCCTTCTGTACTAGCATACTTCTGAAAAGCTAGTAGCCCAGAATGATCAGCTGGTATATTTTCATGGAAGTATTTAAATGTCTCCTGGAACCCAAAAACCTCGCTGGAATATTTGAGGCGATCCCCCAAGGTAAGGGGATATTACGAGAAGTGAGGCAGGAGTTCTGATGTGAAGTCGGTGTGTGAAAGAGAGTGGAAACAGCTTGTTTGCACTTGCTGTACATATTCTTAGTCTTTGATGGACTGCATCAAATATTTCCAACCATAGGAATGAACTCTGTTAATAAAAGGACCATGCCAAAATGGCAAAACTGACCAGAAAACTCAGGAACCAAGAAGACAAAAACTTTAAGAAAGAACGGGAAAAAATTCTAATTTATTTAGGAGACCACTGCAAGCAGATGAAAACATTAGTAGGATTTTTTAACAACGCTTGTAATGTAACAATCGCTATGGACAATATGGATGCATACGAAATATGGATTACGAAATAATATGCAGTTGAAAATGTTGACAATAAGACCCATGGTGGGAAGTCTGGAGGTTCAGAGAAATCTCTAAATGCAGATATTTACTTGGTATTGTTATAATTCTACGCTTGTAAAATAAAATAAAAAATCATTTTTTAAAAAAGGAAATGGAAGGCGGGGTTTCCAAGGTTTTAGTATATGTTTCATAATTTCTAGCTTCTAGAAATCTCCCAAGGTTTGCAACAGAATAATTAAGGTCAGCAGCCCTTGACTGCCTGACTCCCTAATTCTGAAGGTGGTAATTAAAGTCACCCTTCGCCTCGGAGCTTTGACTAATCCCAGCCAGCTCTTGCGGATGTCGGAGTTTTCACTTTACTACTCATGGGAGCTGGAGCTCCGCCAGCAGTTTCACAGCCGTCATTAACTCAATGAAACCGCTGCCGCTGGATGAATTAAATTCTCACGCCGAGCCAAGTTACACTTTTTTGGTCTCCCTAGGGAAAGAAAGCTTAGCTTGTTCACACTCCCCGTATCCTGGCTTGCGTCTCCTGCCCAGTCCAACTTGGGCAGGGATGAAAGGTTAAAATTCAATGGCAAAAGAATCTCTAGCTCTCTCTTAGGACAAAGACACCAGCGGGATGGGGAAGAGCAGCTTAAAGGGGAAGGACCAAATGCAGCTATTGCTATGAAAACATCGCTTTTGTCGAAGCTTCTTGACAAAGAAAAGTGTTTGTGACTCTTTGCTCCGGAGGGAGGCAGACCCGCAGCTGAAACACCGCCCTCCCCACCACTTTAAACTTAAGATGGTCTTTCTGTGTGTGGTCTCCACATCCATTTTTGTTTTTTGTTTTTCTGCTTTGGATTGCTATTTGCACGAGCAACTACCCACTGACTCCCAGTACTTGAGAGAGGAAAACTGGCATGTTTATTTTGCATTTAAGCAGTTGAAAGGATCGCAGCGTGTTCATGAGGAAATCACTTCCGTGGGGGGTGCAAGGCTGACTTCACACATTTCCCCACCCAAAAAACACCATTAGAACCCATCTATCTGGTTGGTCACAACACACCGTGATCTCTAAAAACGTTCAGAATTTACAAATTCACCCAAGCACAATGGTGAGATTTAGGGCCAGGGCTCCCTCCGAAAGAGGGGCACATTGTGCCCATGAATTAGAGACAGCTGACATACTAAGTTCCATAATGAATCTGCCTCTTGTGCCACTATCATGTTCAGCAGGGTACAGAGTTGGGGGTAGGGAAGTATGCAACCCCAACTTTTCCTTTAACTCCTTTGCATCTGCCTAGCCGCTCCTTATGCCTGCGGTGAAACTGGCCCCCATATAATATCTTTTTAAATCCATGTCTTATCCAGCGGATTAGCTTCTTCCAGAAACACAAGCGGCACAGTTAAACCAAGCTGAGTTGAGGATTGGAAATGAGAGACACACAGCCTTTCGCCTTGAAGGGTCAGTTTGACATCCAGCATTGAGAGAAGATGCTGGAAGTTACTGTTGGGAACATATATCCTTCTTTTCCGTTACAAACATGATCAAAGTGGCTTTTGGTAAGTGTGCGGCTGGGTATAAATTCCTCTTTAGCATGCAGTCCAGTTTTTCTATCACTCGGGATTCTTTGCCAATGGGTGTTGTTGAGGAGAGAACCAGACAGGCCGAATCTTCAAGGTCAAGGTTTCATTGAGCGCTGGCTGGGCGCTGCCTGTTCAATATATGCAGGCTTAAGCAAGACCCGTTAGGTCTTACAGGGTGGTCTAAGAACTGGAGAAGAAGCCCATGACTTGGGAAACCTGCCATCTATTTCCCAGCCAAACACCTTGTATAACCTTGGGGAAACCATTCATGTACCTGGAGTTCAGCAGAATGGAATAATTTGCTCTGGAACCCTGTCTCAACCCTGGGATGTTAAAGCCAGGGAGTGGCCAGAGCCTTAAATTCCCTGCTGCTCAATTCTCATCGGGTCCAATAAAGAATACATTGGTGATACAGTTTGGTTAAAGTGCACCTTAAAAGTGTCTTCACTGGTGCTAAAGTTCTGCAACATGCCCCACTTTCTGTGGCTCTGGGCCACGCTCTGTGTGGTGCAAAATGAATGAATAAATTCACAGTTCCTCCTGCCGCCTCAGCCCAACCTGCTCACCTAGCAAAGCTCTTTCCCAGCAGCCCTTCCTCCTTACCTGCTTGAACAGCCAGGCACAGCAGTGACAGTGCGGCGAAGGAGCTGGTCCATCGCCTCGGTGCGGCCTGCTGGACCCCTATCCCTTTAGCCATAGCTGCTTCCTTAAGCGTGTCCGCAGAGGGAATAAGCCCTCGACTGAGCGTACTAATGTGTCTGACTCTTTATGTAGGACACTGACTCTCCCAGCCCCGCTTGCCATTGATTGGTGGAAAACTAGTAACAGCTGTTACCAAGGAAACCACTTAAGATTGTGAATTGATGCCTGTTGGACATTGTGGGACTCCCTGGGCGGTCGGCCGAGCCTCCCTGGGACAGCAAGACTACCTGGAGCCTTTGACATGCTGGAAGTTGCATAAAGAACACTCACCTTCCAGTTGTTGTTGTTTCTGCCATAGTTGTTTCTTAACTTCAGAGCATCTGATTGCAAAACAGTGGTGTGCTGGTGCCAGTCTGTTAGAGAGACTATCAACCAAGGTGACAAGATAAATATTTGAAATACTTTATTGTCACTTGTACAACTTGTATACAGTGAGATTATATACAGTGAGATTACACGAGCACCCCCCACGCAGCTCTCTTAGTCTTAATTCCCCTTGTTTACTGACACACACACACACACCAAACCCGAAAGTCAGTTGCCCTGTTGTTATCTTTTCATTCAGCAGCCTAACAGCCCATGGATAGAAGCTGTTCTTTACCCTGTTGGTGCGACGAATCCTGCTTCTATATCTTCTGCCCGAGGGCAGGAGATCAAGAAAGTGCTGGCCAGGGTGTGAATCATCCCTGAGAATTTTCCTCACTCTCCTGAGGCAACGTTCTTCCACAATGTCATCCAGCGGATTCACGGGACAGCCCATGATATCCCTTCCTCCTCTCAAAACTTTTTGAAGGTTGCGTTAGTCCTGAGGGACAAAATAGGCCTTCTTTATACCGCAGGCTTAGAATAAGACAGGAGGAGTGTTACAAGAGTCAGAACACCTGCAAGCCAAACTCAGTTTGTTTAAGCATGAATCACTGTATTTTCTGACATTTGACTTGGAGGAAGACATGTTCATTGTTAGGTCCTGCCCATGAATGAGCAGCATGTTTCTCCCAGGTAAGCAAGGCTTCTCTCAGGTAAGCAGCATGTTTCTCCAAGGGTACAGTATGATTGCATCTCACGCGGGCATTCAGTTCCGAGGGTTTCTCGTACGCATGAAAATCGTGTCTCCTCAAACTCCTGGAGCCGGCCACAGCTAGTGGGTGAGCAGGTTAGGAACATTTTATCATATGTGGTGGGAATGTAAGAAAGTAAAAAACTTTTGGGAAATGATATATGATGAGATGAAAAAGATGCTGAAATATGCATTTTTAAAAAAACCAGAAGCATTTTTACTTGGTATTATAAGCGAGGATATTAACAGACAGGATGTTAAATTGTTTCTATATGCAACAACAGCGGCAAGAGTATTGTTGGCCCAGAAATGGAAGCAAGAAGAAATACCGACGAAAGAAGAATGGCAGATAAAATTAATGGACTACACAGAATTGGATAAAATGACAGGAAGGATTCGAAACCTGCGGGACCAGAGATTTACAGAAGATTGGAAGAAATATGCGAACTATTTGAAGAGCAACTGTAATCAACAAATTATGCTAGTAGGACTACAAGAAGTTTTGTAAGGAGAAATATATGAAATATTGCAAAGAAGAGAAAGAAGAGAGACATTAGTTATGATATTTAAATATAATAGTGAAAGTAAGAAATGTAAATTAAGTGAAAAGATTGGAAAATTTTCAGAGGTGATTGATGGAAGTAAAAAAAATTGTATAAGATATAAAAGTATGTTCAATAATTGTTGAAAATGTTATGTTAAAAAACTAATAAATATATATATATATTTTAAAAATAGTGGGTGAGCAGGAGAGAGAAAGAATCCCCAGTTCAAAAGGGTAAAAGAGTATTGGGAAATGATCCATAATGAATTGGAAAAAATGTTTAAAAGTACTTCCCCCCCCCCAAAAAAAAACCAGAGTCCTTTCTGTTGGGGATAATTCAGATTGAAATTCCCAGGTGTCCAAAAAAAAAAAAAGGTCATTTATGTATGCTACTACTGCGACCCGTGTTTCATTAGCCCCAAAATAGAAAATGAGTGAGGTCCCAACCAAAGAAGAATGGCAACTTAAGTTGACAGAATATGCGCAACCTGCAGACTTAAGGTGTAGAATAAGTGAACAAGAAGAGCATACATTTAAAGAAGACTGGAAAATGTTTATTGAATATTTGGGAAATAATTGAGTACAGCTGAAAATGCTGGCAGCGTCAAGATAAATTCAACAGTGTAAATAAGTTTTGATGGATGCAGTAATGGAATACTGAATGGCATAGTTTTTGTAAAATATGCAGAGATTTATGATATGTAAAATGAACCATGGAAAGGGAAGAAGGGAAGTTATTGATATCTTGAGGATGTAAAATTAGTATTTCACATTGTAAAACAGAAAATTTAATAAAAATTATATACTAAAAAAAGAAAAGAAAAAATCCCCAGTTCTGCTAGAACCTATGCACTGTGCAGGTGTTGCCCATCAAGCTTTTTCCCCACACTGGATCTGCTTGGGTTTTCCAGTATTTAAGCTCTCTGTCTTGCTGGGCAAAAAGAGCTTTTAAGCTCTCCACCTTGCTTGGATTTAACTTGCGCACTTTCAACCAGCCTGCCTTCAACTGTACCTGGTTGAAATTGTGCAAGTTAAACATGTGTAAGATGTGATGGTACTGTATTTCAAATAGTCATGCGGAAGAAGAAGGGAAGGAAATGCATTACAAGTCACTGCCACCGCCTGGTGTTGTATTGCTGCATCCAAGCAGACACATGGTGGCTTGCAATTCTGCAAACGATGCTGCCAGCCTGCTGTAGACCTGAGTGCATCATGACTTGGCCCACAGAACCCTAGTTTCATATAGCTGTCCACATGATTTGATGGCCCAGAATCTACTAGGCAGTTTGGATGAGTGTGAGGAAACAGTGGCAAACAGCCATTTTGGGAGTGTGGCAGCTCAGGTGAAGGGTCTGTATTGGACCACCCAATCAAGCTTAAAAGAAGCAAAGCCCTATTTGAAAAGATGCCTTTTTGAGAATTTGCAGCCCTCCTTGTGCCCTCAATACCACTGTAAATGTAATGAATAAAACAATAAAACAAACAATAAATATACATGTGTGTAAGGTTAACATGGTCAGCCATGGTGTCGATTTGGTGGTGACCTTTAAAGCCCTAAATGGCTTCAGCCCAGTATACCTGAAGGAGGATCTCCACCTGCATTGTTCAACCTGGACACTAAGATCCAGTGCCTTCTAGCAGTTCTCTGATGGCGAGAAGTGAGGCTACAGGGAACCAGGCAGAGGGCCTTCTCGATAGTGAGGCCTGCCCACTGACATCAGATGTCCAGGAAATAAATAACTATTTGACTTTTAGAAGACATCTGACGGCAGTCCTGTACAGTGGTACCTTGGCTTAAGAACTTAATTCATTCTGGAGGTCCATTCTTAACCTGAAACTGTTCTTAACCTGAAGCACCACTTTAGCTAATGAGGCCTCCCACTGCTGCCGTGCTGCTGCTGCGTGATTTCTGTTCTCATCCTGAAGCAAAGTTCTTAACCTGAGGTACTATTTCTGGGTTAGCGGAGTCTGTAACCTGAAGCGTATGTAACCTGAAGCATCTGTAACCCAAGGTACCACTGTACAGGGAAGTTTTTAATGATTGAGGTCTTCCTGTTTTAATTTGTTGGAAGCTGCCCAGCGTGGCTGGGGCAACCCAATCAGATGGGTGGGGTATAAATATTATTATTGTTGTTGTTGTTGTTGTTATCATTATCATCATTATTATTATCATCGTTGTTTGCTTCTCTTTGTGAAAATAACTCGGCTGGTTGACCCTGGAAGGGAAAGGCATGTCACAGGCTTCGCAGAAAGGGGTGTCCATGAAGTAGCAAGGCCAGACATGAAAGGATTGTGCTCAGGCGGGTGGGAGAGTTTACACTTCACTTGCCTGCTTAATACAAAAAGCAGATGCCACCATAAATCCCATCAGTCCAGACAGCTACTCAATAAATGGGAACAGGCTAATATTCCTCCAGCTGTGACCAAACTGGATGCGGCATGAATGAAGGTCATCGAGTCTGCCGGAGCGTGGCCCTGAGGCAGGGGTGGCACTGGGTGGGAATGAGACAATGCGCACGCAGATACACACAGGGAGTAGAAGTGTCAATGTGACTCCCGCTGGCAAGAGGATATGGTGATGGAATTCTCACCCACAGCAGAATAGCTGGAAGGGAGGATCCGGCCCATGACTTGTTCACAACTCTCCAGTGCTCTCAATGCAACTTTCTTATCACTCCTACATGGCCACACACTCAGGGCAGATATGCCACCCAAGTTCTTAATAATTCATAGCAGACCCTCCAAGTGTCCCTATTTTCCAGGGACAGTCCCAGATTTACAGAAGCTGCTCCAGTTTCTCATTGATTGGCCCTCCAGATGTTTGGGACTACAATTCCCATCATCCCTAGCTAACAGGACCAGTGGTCAGGGATGATGGAAATTGAAGTCCCAAACATCTGGAGGGCCAGAGTTTGCCCATGCCTGTGTTGGAGGGTAGGAAGTTATGTGACCCCCCCCCCCCCAGGCCAAGGAGATAAGGAACTGTACAACTTTTAGAAGAAACCTGAAGGCAGCCCTGTATAGGGAAGTTTTTTATGTGTAATGTTTTATTGTGTTTTATACGTGTTGGAAGTCACCCAGAGCGGCAACCCAGACAGATGGGCTGGATATAAATATTATTATTGTTGTTGTTGTTGTTGTTGTTGTTGTTTGAATAGGACATCCCTGTTGGAGAAATGTTGGAGGGTATTGTCATAGCTCTGGTACCTTTTGTTCCCTGTGCAAGTCTCAGTCAATGCCCACTGCCCTTTTCCCAAGCATAACCATGTGCCTTTTTTGAGCTCTTTGGTGCAACTTGCACAACCAGAAAAAAAAAAAGGTACATATGGATTTCCCTTTAGATCCACAGAGATATGTTGCTGCCAAGGCAATTAAAGGTAAAGGTAAAGGTACC